GTGGACTGCTTCTGTTAGTTTTCTTTTAGTGAAATCGTGGAGGTTGTTGGCGAGGATTTGGACGTTGTCCCAGTTGATGATGTGATTGGGACAGTTGCTGATATGGTCCGAGATGGCTGATTTGCTGTCGGATTTGATTGTGGAGGTTTTGTGCTCTTTCATTCTGGTGTTGATTGGACGGGATGTTTTACCTACGTAAGATTGTCCACAGTTGCAGTCAATTTTGTAAACTACGGCTTTAGGCTCTTGGGATTAGTTTTGTTCCTGCCGTTGGCTCTTAGCAGGATGTTGAGGGAGTTGGAGCTGGTGAAGTGGGTGTCGATGTTGGCTTGTTACCGAAACGTCGCTTTTCACAGTATTAAAGAAGTTGTTATCCATAAAATTGTGTCTATCTTGTCTTCTCCAGAAGCGCATGATGTACATTCATAAAGCAATCTATGAATGGCCAAATATGTATAAGTAAAAAAAATGTTCTCATCCAAAAAGCGAAAAAAATATGTTTCTAATTTTACTGTACTGTTTAAATACATGAATAAAGTAAATGAATACTACAAGACCTGTTTTGTCTCTTTCCCATTTTGACTGCTTCAGCCAGAAACGGGTGATAGGTTGTAACTAGCAGTCACTGAACTTTGAAGCATATGTATTGAAACAGCAGTCATAACGGAGAGACGTGCGCGATAGATGGGGATCTGGACAGTCCATATTATAAGTTGTAGCAGGATCACGAGGGGTACATGGGGTTTTATACTGTTAGGTTTTATACCATGAGCCTCCGGCTCCGGTATAACACCTTACGAGTGACGCATAAAATCCCATATTCCCCAAGTGATCCTCCTACAACGAATTTATCATACCTACATGTTATAATATGACATTGTAAAAGAATTCAAACGAATTCAAAATGCTGGAAAATAGCTTTTCTATTAAGCTAAGGTTAGCTAGTCTTATGTCACGTGACTTCCAGTGACTCCGCATTGCTTTGAAGCGGAGTTTAAGGGATATAGAAAATCCACGTGTAGCCTGACATGCTCGTGGCGGGGTATAAGAGATTTGTAAGCTCTACTCAGAAGCAGTGAAAAAGGGTTCAGATGGGAAAATGGATGAAGAACATGCTAGAACTATTATCATTAAGAATCTAGCAGAGCAGGCAGGAGAGAAGGAAAATCCTACAGTGACGAAAAATCAAGTTTTGAAGTTGTTGCGGGATGGGTTAAAACTAACCAACGTTGAACTGTGTACAGCAGAGAGAAAAACTGCTCGGGGTAAAGCTCCGGGTGTGGTCGTGGCAAGTGTGGGAACAGTTGAAGAGCAAGAAAAAGTGATGAAAACAAAGAAACTGTTAAAAAATGTGAAAAAATATGAACATGTGTACATCGAACATCACATTCCTTTAGAGACAAGGAAACAGAACACAAACATGAGAACAATACTAAAAGAAATGGGTGTTGATGATAAATATTCTGTTTCTAAGTCTGGTTTTATCTCCAAAAGAAAAATTAGGGCTAATGTAAGGTATTAGGGCTTAAGGCTTGGTTTATGGAATGTAGGAGGGTGGTCCACACTAAATGGAGATAATAACACTTTTAGATATACTGTTGTTGATTATTTGAATGATGATATCATGTGTGTGTGAAACATTTCTTAAGAAAGGTGGTGCCATATCCGCAGACGGTTATTCATGGATTGGTCATAACAGGTCAAGTTTACACGCAAGAGCTAAACGATCATCCATAGAACAGAAGAGACAAAGACTAGTAAATGTGACAAGTTTAATACAAACAATCTCCCAAGTAACTTTTTTAATGATGAAAACATTACCAAGAAAGTGAATGAGACAATTTCTAAAATTGAGAAGCAACTAAGTGAAGAAAGAAGTGTATCTGAAGCCTATCAATCTTTTACAGACCTAATATATGAGGAAATGGATGAAAAATTAAAGAAAATGGGTAGTAGAAGAAATAATATCAAAAGAAGATTTAAATCAAGGTTCAAACCATATTGGAATGAAGATCTTCAGGGAAATTGGGACTGTATGTGTGAAAAAGAAATACTGTGGTTATCTTGTTCAGGTTCACAACACAATAAAAGAGCTTTAAGAAGAGATAATGTTGGTAAAAGAAAACTATTTGACAAGTTTCTAAGGAAAACAAAGAGACTGTATCAAAATCAACAAAGAGATGAACTGTTATCTATGTGTGAAGAAAACAAAAGTAATGAGTTCTGGAGAGAAATTGGTAAACTTTGGTTATCAAATGATAGGAAGAAACAAATTCCCATGAAGATGAAGTTAGACAATGAAGAAATCACATCTGATGCAGACACTGTATCACAACACTGGAGAGACTCATATCATTCATTGTTTTCTGCTAATGAAGAAAAGAGCAGTAAACTGTTTGATGGTGAATTTTATCAAAATATAATAGAAAAATTAGCTCAATTGAAGAAAACAGAAGAAGACAGAGATATCTCAAGTTTAAATGAACCTATTTCATTCAGTGAGGTTGAGATAGCTGTTAATCATCTCAAGAAAGGTAAAGCTGCTGGTTTGGATACTATTCCTGCTGAAGTCCTACAAAATAATCACTGTATTAAGCTACTCCACAAATTAATACACTGTTGTTTTGAGAATTCAGTTGCACCTAATGAATGGAATAAAGGAATCATAAATCCTATTCCGAAGTCAAATAGTGATCCACTTGACCCACTTAGCTATAGAGGAATAACTGTTATCTATTCCATGTAAGGTATACACAGACATCCTAAATAGGAGGATTCAATCCTTAATAGAAGATAATAATACATTAGTAGAAGAGCAGAATGGATTCAGACAGAATCGCAGTTGCATAGAACATGTTTATGCACTTTACAACATCATCAATGTGAGAAAGTCTACTAAAAAGTCAACATTTGTGTGTTTTGTTGACATAAAGAAGGCATTTGACTCTGTTGACAGGCAATGCTTATGGTTCAAGCTTATGAAGTGTGGTATAAAAGGAAAAATTCTTCAATGCATACAGTCACTCTACAACAATGTGCAATGCACAGTTAAATTAAATGACTTGTATACAGATGCATTTGATGTGAACTATGGTGTTAAACAAGGCTGTAAATTATCCCCAACTTTATTTTCTATTTACATCAATGATCTTGCTGAGGAATTGAAAGGTTTACAATGTGGAATTGAAATAGAGAACTATATGTTATCTGTTCTCCTATATGGGGATGACCTAGCATTAATCGCCCCGGATGAAGATTCTCTACAGAAAATGCTATGTATACTCAGTGAATGGTGCAGAAAGTGGAGGTTAGAAATAAACTGTGAGAAAACACAAGTTGTGCATTTCAGACCCAAGTCTACAATCATTTCAGATTACCAGTTTAAATGTGGCTTAAATATTGTACCATATACAGAGAGCTATAGATACCTGGGCATCTGGTTGAATCAACATATGGACATGCATAAGACTGTAAAAGAACTTTGTAAATCTGCCAGTCAAGCACTATCTGCATTGTACACTAAATTTAGAAGTTGTGGTGGGATGTCCTACGAAGTGTATACCAAGTTGTATAATACCCTTATCAAGCCTGTTTTGTTCTATGGAGCTGGTATATGGGGGATTAACAAATACAGGGAGGTGCAAGTCATCCAAAACAAAGCTTGTAGATTTTTTCTAGGAACCGGTCAAAATGCATCTAACTTGGCGATTCGCAGCGATATGGGATGGTCATCAAGTGATGTGGATCAAAAGATAGAATTATTTAGACAATTCTTCAGATGTGAATCAATGCCAGATAGCAGAATTCCAAATATTATTCTTAAGTGGGCAATGTATCAAAGTAAATCTCTTGATAAAAGAACTGAAATGCTGATACGAGACTTAAATGTGGATGGGATTATCAGTGACAGTAACAATAACAAGAAAAAAGTGAACTTACTGAAGGATATCTTGAAAGAGAAAGATAGTGAATCATGGTGTAAACAAGTGTGGGATGATGAGAACAAACCAAATGGTAGCAAGCTAAGGAGTTTCAGACTTTTCAAATTTGATGTGAATGTGAGCCACTATGTGAAATGTGTGAAGCGAAGGGATTATCGAAGTGTTTTATCTAAGTTTAGGTGTGGTAACCTCCCTCTATTAGTCCAAACAGGCCGCTATTCCAAGCCACCTATTCCTTTAAATGATAGAATATGTAAATTTTGTGCAGAAAAAAATAATTATGTTATTGAGGATGAATCACACTTTTTAATAGATTGTTTTGTATACAGTGACCTGAGATATCAACTACTACACAAGGCACCTGAATTAAATCAAGACTTTTATTATTTTAATAGCATTCAGCAATTATCTTATTTGATGCAAGAAGTGATTTTACAGCCGCTTTTAGCAAGCACATTATACAGCATGTATAGAAGGAGAGTGCATCTCTTCTAGTCTTAACATTGTATATAATATTTTTACTTTGTGTTTTATATTTAATAATGTTATATGTTTTAAATGCTTTTACAGTGTCTCATAAGCCCTAGAGGCTGGATAGTGTACTTTTAATGGCAACTTGCTTTTGTTTAAAATGTGTTTTATGTACAATATGTGACACTTAAATAAACATTTCTTCTTCTTCTTCTTCTTTGTTCTCCCGCTGTGAAATTTATTCCCCTCCAAGGCGGGATACACGGTATTTAATCAAGATGACATGCAATAATGAGATCTCATCATTCTGACATGGAGGTATGATAACACTTTGTGTCTATCATTGCCGCTGGTTTGTCACGACTTCTCTTGAAAATGATTCCGTATTTGTCATCTAACTGTCTGACGGTTTGGGACGCTGCCCAACCTACACCCAATACTCTCCCAACAGGTTGTGGTGTATTTATATGTAACACAAGAGGCCTACACAAGTGCGATCCACACTGTGTCATGGTTGGCTTAACACAGCAGGGCTCCGTTGATAAAGTCATGTTCCCTATTAGGAAAGTCATTGGGTATTTCCCACTTCTTCCAGGTAGCCATATTGTGTGGCTGTGACTATCACATTCTTTCAGTGGGAGCAGCGGTTATGTGTACGTTCGCAGGCATTAGGGTGAGATTATATTAATAACTTTGCTGATGATTACAATGTATTTCATGAACATTTCATGTATCCATTATATTAGTCACTTGCATTTTATTAGTCACTCCACCTCAACACATTCATTTCACCAAATCAATCAAAGAAAAGAAAAAAGAGTGTGTGTTTTCATATCCATACGTGTGTGTGTGTGTGTGTGTGTGTGTGTGTGTGTGTGTGTGTGTGTGTGTGTGTGTGTGTGTGTGTGTGTTCGTTCGTTGTAAGAAGCTTGGATATAGTGACTTGGGTATGCTTTCTCCCTTGAAATACGCCATATTAATATCACATCTCCTTGCACTATTACCTCTCCATCGTCATTGGTTGGTTTAGTTGTGACGTTATTTGTGTATTTTCTGTTTACTAAGTGGTAGAAGTAGCTAGTTGGTTGTTCACCTTCTTCACATCATCGGATTCTATTGCAAATTTGTATTCCTCTATTTTCCATCTTTGTTTTAATCCAACTGTTTTGTATTTTCTCTCTTTTGTCTTTTTGTCTCTTTGGAAGTGTGAAGCAAATGATGTTGTTATACCACTTACTTTCATTAAAAAGTTTCTAAAAATAGAGAATTACTGATTGTTAGTTTCAATGATGCATCTTTCGTATATTTATACGATACAATATTCATTTAGTTGTTGCCATACATCTACCAAGTAAACTTTTTCTATTTTATCTAATACTGTTTTTCTTGCGTTTGAATTATTAATTTTTTATTTTTTTTTAAATTCCATGGTCTAGTATACCCCCATACTATTACAGATTCGTTATCAAAATCATCAATGCTCTTGAATAAGGTATCATAGAACATTTGATCATTTCTATTAGGTCTATAAATTATATTACAAAAAGTGAGTCCTATTCCTTCAATAGTGGTCTTGGGCGTTGATGTAGCCTTGTGAATAAAACGTTTGCACGTCACGCAGAAGACCTGTGTTCAATTCCCTGTATGAGGGGTACAATGTGTGAAGCCCATTTCTGGTATATCAGTGCCGTAGCCAGCAGGAACATATTGAACAAGTCAAAATAGGGAATTGCATCGGACATCATTTTTGACACTGATGCGTCAAATTTGGTAATGTCCTCTGTTTGTTTAGCATAAACGTTTTGGAAAGTTTTAATAAGGCCTTGACGTCTGTAGCCTTGATCAATCTTAAAGCAAGAGTCGTATGACGCTCTTTGAAATCTTGGTAGAAACAGCATGTCCACTTGTACCTAAAACAATGTGAAATGTAGACACCAAAAGCTGGAGCTGTTGGAATATTTCTACGCATAAATGGGAAAGTTGTCTATTGGAAGGTTGATGTCATCCATCTTGCCATTCTTACCCGCCCTGAAAGAGGGGAAGCATGCGGTTACTTTGTTACTAAATGGACTACCAGTATTGAACGATGTCAGAATGTCATCAATATACCAGAGGCTTAAGTTAAACATCTTGGCCCAATTCCCTTTGGCATTTCACATATTGTTTTTTTTTTAAGTACACTTCAGATGGATTTTTGCTTTCATTTTTGAACCTGTGAACACACATGGCCAATCAAGGAATCAAGTTTTTCCTAAAGTTTGTCTTGTGGGGCATTGGTGTACAAAGTTGAAAAGACAAATATTTTTACTTAATTAAACTTGGTTCTTTTCTGAGACTGCAAATCAAATAGGCAAGCAAATCTTTTGAGGTTTTGAGAATGCACATGGTATTACATGGTTTCGAAAAAAGTGTAAGCATGCCCTGCCCTATGGCTAGCACACGACACTCCAAAAATTGGCATAAAAAAGTATAATTCTTGCAAATCCTCTACCTCTATTACATCTTTGCTTGATTTTGGCTTCATTCACACTAACTTAATTTTCAGATTTTCAACAGCCGTCCTCTTCACTGTCAATTACACACAATTAGTTGTTCCCAATATAGCACTACAGCAACCCAAGCAATGACGTGTGAAATGGCTGGAAACCTCACTTCTTTCCTCTGTGTGCTCGAGTCAACACCTATTATTATAGTTGTAACGATCAAGCACTTGGTGGTGGTCACATAAATCTAACATTGTTGTATAGTTTTCTTAAAACAGACATATTAAGTCAAAATTAAAAGCTGCTAATTGTTGTAATTCTCACGTAAATATAAAACTGGCGTGGATGTTTGTGAGGTCGTCATGGAGTCTCCCTCTCCTCTTACTTGCAAGAAGTGTGGCCATTTTATGATCATGAGATATCCTCATAACAACTGCTGGAAGTGCAGAGATGCACGGGAGAGGCAAGATACGATCAGTGCTCTTCTCTATCTAAGAAGGCCTTCACCAAGCTAGTTGAAGCCTTAATTAAAGCTAGAAGACGAGAAGCAGCTAAGCAGAAAGTTGACGTCATTGCGGCTACTGACACTGACTTAGCCTCTGACTCTGTCCCAGCGACTCCACCAACTACTCCGGCGAATGGATCATCTCCTGCGTTCTCTATGAACTTGATAGAACAACTCTTCATACAGGAGATGATGGAGTCGATGTTAGAGTCTCGCTTCTCTGCTATAACTAAGGACATGGAGATGCTTAAGAAGAAGCAGACCGTATTGGCTAAGAAGAGTCCTCCGGCCAAGAGGCCACATGGGGGACAGCCGTTTGGTCAGGCTACAACCACAGCTCAGGTTTTACCCTCCCGTGAAACATGGGCATCTAGATCTCCGCTCGGGTCCTGTCAGAGTGCCGCAAGGCCATACTCCCCAGCTAAGACACCGCACGGACTCTACTGTAGCCAAGCAGAGCGTTACGAGAGCGTCACATCAACCGCAATGTCGCCAGATGTCAGCGGGACAGTCTAGCAGTTTGATGGAGGATCATCATTCCTGTACTGGTTCCATTATACACGGGCAGTCATTACAAACCGCATGGACCTTACTCATAGTGGAATCCTGGATACCAGCGAATGATGAACCGCAAGGGGAACACGTTGAATGTATGGATTATGACGAACAGCAGATGGATACAGCTGGGACAGCTGGCAAATTGGGACATGTCCTAGACGAGATCAGACAAGACACAACTGAACGATTCCAAGTATCAACTATTGACCTAGCTGTCAAGGCACATGAATCTTCCTATCCCCCCGAAGTGTTCCTGGGACCACAAGGACTCGTCATATAAACAGCCACCTAAGAAGAATTTGTCCCTTCCGTGAAGGATTCATTCCATCCGAGTTGGGTGTACGAAAAGCATCAATCTTCTCAGGATTCATTTTGTCAGTCCGACTACAGAAAACGAAGATCCTATTCCTGGGGCAGATTCGGGGGCAGAGGTGAACGCAGGTTCTGACTTCCTTGCCACCCATTCTGCCGTTATAGACACTTTCGACCTTGTTATGTATATGGACTGCGATTTAAGCCTATCATCTTCAACATAATACCGACTTCAGGGCCAGTGGGAGGGAGTCTTGAGTCATATGCCTAAAATTGGAAGCAGATTACACCCGACAGCTTGAAGATACTCAACAAAAAATTATTGGTACCTCCTCTAAAGTTCCAGATGGAATGCATTAGGAAGATGCGGTTGGCTTATCAGCCTCGACCGACAAGACGCCTATCTTCACGTCCCAATACCCCCATCAACATGGAAGTACCTGTGCTTCATAATCAATGGTCGACGTTATGAGTTCCAGGTCTTACCATTCTGGTTATCAATAGTCCCTTGGCTGTTTACCAGGATTACAGCGCCAGTCATCAGCTAGTATGAAGCCATGGCAGACCAAGAAGAAGCTTGGTTACACCAGAACATTTCTGGTCCTATGCTTATGACCTACCTAGGCTTCCTAGTCAATCCCTCCAAGTCTGAGACCACTCCGGTTCAAGACATTGTATACATCGGAGCGCGTTTCCAACAACACAAGGGATATCTATGTCCACCATAGGATCGATTCGTCAAGACTATTACGATAATTCAATCCCTATCAAGTCAACCTGCCAGGTCTCTAAGGTGGTGGATATCTCTTCTAGGCAATCCAACGTATCTACAGAATATGACCTTCAGAGCAAGGTTGATGTTACGTCCTCCACAGACATGGATCAACTCACTACGATCCAACACCCTAGGGTTCAGGACTCAGTTACATCCCAACTTATTACGGGACCTGCATTGGTGGACACACGGAGAAACTCTTTTCACAGACTCCCCAGATTCGGGATGGGGAGCCCATATTGACGATCTTATGGTACAAAGGTCTTGGAACACCAGAGACAGGATTCTACATATCAACTGCACGGAAATGAAGCCCATTTATTACGCCATCCTGACATCTAAGATACGTCTCTCCCAATCGTCCATCTTCATAGCCACAAACAGCACCACAGTAGTTGCATACATTCAGAAACAAGAAGGAACCAGATCAAGTTCTCTGATGATGGAGACTACACGATTGTTTGCCTTGGCAGACTCCATCAGGTTGGAAGCGAGACATATTCTCGGTAAGCTGAACATCCTTGCTGATCTGACAGCCTTTCCCGCCAGGGGAGAATAGTACCAACAGAATGGACCCTACATCCCAAGATCTTGGCTTGGATAACCACGTTATGGGACATCAGGCATCTCTTTGCCACCTGCCCAAACCATCAACTTCCAGTTCATGTCTGTCCAGTTCCCGAACCAATGGCTCAGCAGATCAATCTGCTGTCGATGGATTGGACGGGTCTATTTGCATACGTATTCCCACCTTGGTCTCTCCTAGACAAGGTCATCCACAAGGTGGAGGAGACGGATTGCATGATAATCTTGATAGCACCAGTCTGGCCAGCAGAGCGTGGTTCCCCAGATTATTAAGTCTATTAATGGAAGAGCCTCCCCATTTACCTCTCCGTCGAGATCTGTTTCAACAGCCCAGGTCAAACATTTTCTACGACAACCTGCCCAGCCAATATCTAACCACCTGGAAGTTATCACGCAAAAGATGCAGACATCCGGGTACTCTGAAGCTGTGGCAAGATCATGAAGACATTCATCATTATACAGTGGGCCATAGACACTATAACATTCCTGCCTTGGGGCTGACAGTGGATCACCAAGACAGACTTTTTTTTGTCCCTTCAGAGCTCTCAAATTCTACCCTTCAGCTACAAACCCACATAGACGCCATAGAAGGAGACTATTCATATCCTGCAAGCCTCATTCCAATAAAGACACCACCAAGGTTACGATAGCGGGCTGGCTTAAGGCTACCGTTGCAGCGAGTTATACGCAGGCACAGAATTCCACTCCTGTCTTGGATCCTGACCAGCTCACGAAATCAAAACCCTAGCCACGAGTCTCACTTCATCGACATTTCCGTTTCAGTGGAACAAGTAGTGTCCAGCTGTCAGTGGGCCTCACAAGACACCTTCACCAGTTTTTACTTGCGTGACGTACTATCATCCACCACCTCGTTCTATCGAAAGATAAGGCAGGGTGGTGTGTGTGTATGTGGGTGGGTGGGTGGGGGGGGGGGGGGGGGTGGGGGGGGGGGGGGTGGGGGGTGGGGGGGGGGGGGGGGGTGGGGGGGGGGGGGTAGAGGTACTCTCTTGATTACCCTGTTAATTAGGTGTAGGATTTGATTTGGAGCACCTTGAGTAACAGCTGCTACTAGTACGAATTGCAGATGACCGGAAGTGACGTCAGAGCCGGAAGATGTATAATCGGAAGTGACGACATCACTAGAAGTGACATCACCACCAGAAATAGAAGTTTAAGGTCAATCTAATCAGGAAATGACGTCTTTTGGTAGATATAGACATAAGACGTCATTATCCATTATCCAAGGGAAGTGAGAAACCGGAAGTGACGTCACAACGGAAAGTGAGATAAGAACAGAAAGTGACGTCAGCACCGGAAATAGTGTCCATTTTTAACAAGAAAAGCCGGCATTTGGTAGAAATACAACAGAATGACATCATTGCAATACTCTCCGGTGTAACATGAACAGTTACACCATTTCTCATGTATCAATACGTTTTTTACAACCAGTGACAACAATCTTTCATAATTTAGTGTGGATGAACCAAATCTATCACCCTGGTGATGACAATGCCTGTTCAGAAAAATACATTCGTCCTGTGTTACATACATCAGCTGATCTTCGCAGCAAAAAAACTAATACATTTCTATTTTTATAGTTTTACTTACAAAACACCGTTGGATTTGGAGAACATTTATTAAGACTGTATTTTGACATAATGCATTTCAAATATTTGCAACGCAGACACGTACGGGAGGTTTGAAAAGGTCTTCGGCAACCCTTGCTTGCCTAAAAAGTGAATACGTTTGTCGTAAGAGGCGACTAACGGGATTGGGAGGTCAGGCATCTTAGTAAACATAGAGTTGAAATATGGATGAGATAATGCCGATGCGACGTTAAATTTTAACTCACACACTCACTCAATTACGTAGATCACTGCTCATATTGTCAATCACTGAATTGTCTGGTCTAGACTCGATTATTTACAGACCGCCGTCAAATAGCTGGAATATTGCTGAGTGCGGAGTTAAACCACAAACAAACAAACATCATTGTTCATTGTTCTAGTGACGCACGTCTATCAGGACAGAAGCAATATGAACCTGGTGGATAACCCCTATACCAGTCTGTCTGGGCAGGACATGGTTCACACAGACCGCGGTCGTCCACATGTAGAAGAGGCAAGAGAGCAGTTTTCTCCTCACATGGAAGGTGTGGTGGGAGACCAGACAGAGGAAGATGCGATCGTGAGTTGAAATATTTGATCTTCATCATTCGTATGGGTAGGCCACTTGAAATATTGTAGTACTTGAACTTTTTAAGTGAATGTTGTTTCGGGATCCTGGCAATGCTACATGTAAGGGATGCGGCACTGCTCAGGGAATTAACACGCACTATCTCCTTCATGGGTACCTGTGTCATTATTGCATGTGTGGATTCTATGACTATTTTGGACTTATATCAGAACAGTGGAGTGCAACTTTCAGTGAATATACCTTAGATATTGCCAAGATATACTATATTAAACTTTTACCATGGTACTGTTACAATGATTTTCCATTATTTCAGACCTCAAGTGAAGGAGAACAGGAGGTTCAAAATGAACAAGGGCCTGGTAACATAGATAATCTCTTAATACTTATTGAAAGGACAATACAGTACGATGCAAAGAATGTAGGAGATATTGGGAATTAACAAGACATTTCTGCTGATGTATATGATATTATTAATGGAAATCATTTCATAATATCTGGGGATCGTATCTGTTATGGGTTCTAAAGCTTGATGTGATCAGATGGTGGCGCACTTGGTCATTAAAGAAGTCGGAGGTCAAATAAGAAATTTGCATTTTGCAGCCAAGGTCACTAATATCGGGTAAAACCACCTCTGTTGGCCAGACATGCGTGAATTCTTTGATGTGTCGACCAATGTCAGCTTCCACCCATTGGTGAGAGCAACATCGAGTTCATTAAAAGTGGTGGGTGGAATTGGGTCACAATGAGTAGTGCTCTATCATCTTGAAAGAACACGTTGAGCAAGTGGCAGCATGATTGGTGCAATGAGGTTGTCCCGATGGTGTTGACCTTTGAAACTGCCACGGACAACATGGAGTGGCAGTCGTGTACCAATATGGGTCCATAACGTTGACGTCCTTAAAACGTTCAAAAGGACGTCTCTAAACGCGTTTCCTTCGGTCATAAAAGTCGACATTTAACCTCGTTTCATCAGAAAACATAACATTAGCCCAAAGTCGATTCTTCCGGCGTTGATGTTCCCTACACCACTGACGCCTCTGATTCAAATGACATGCAGTAAGTTGTGGGATGGCACGTGGGATGACACGTAAACGTGGACACGTGGACATCGTGCTCGCAAATTCCATCTGTGCAAATGATTTCGCGTGTACTCTTACACCAGTTGCCTGTTGCATTGGTACCTTACCTGAGTGTCAGTTTGCAACCCATTTCTTAATGCTATCAGTCTGATCTGATCTGTCCTAGCCTGGAGATGCTGCCCTTGGGGGTACATAACGGCATTCATCATCGACGTAATGTGTTTGTTGGCATCGGGCCCACAATCTGCTGATGACAGATTGGGAATCATGCAGCATTATTATGATGTGTGCTTATCTGCAAAATACCTATTGTTTAGAAAGGTGTCTTTTAGCGTTTGGTTCCAAGAAAACTCACAAGCGATGCAGTCAACTGACAATGGTAAATCAAGTATTCCACCCTGTCTGAGTGTTGTCCGAAGTCACATGCTTCATGACTGTCACTATGTTGTGTTTGGAGTTGTGTTTCGGAAATGTTCTTGTCACATAAATCACTTACTTTCATTGCCAGACATTGTTGCATTTTCCTGTAATTTCACCTGAAACAAAATATATTAAAATTGTTTTGCAAAGTGTATATTAAAGGGGGAAACTCTACACTGAATAATACACTGAAATATCCGCTAAATATATCATACCAAAGTAAAGTTTTAAAAGCGAAACTAGTAACAAACGGCTCGTAACTTATCACATATGAAGTACTAGTGCCTTGCCGTTTTGTAATCGCCCTTTGTCAGTATCTTCGAACCTTATAAAATTATTAAAAAAACTATTCTAAATGGTCAAAACATATACTCACAGAACTAGAAACAATAGACCTGACGGTTTCCAACAGGTTCGCCTTTTGAGTCAAATGTAATCTTCGTCACGATAAACAGGTACAAATCTTGAACACATCTCCAATGTCCTCAATCATCTAGTTGTCAGAAAAAAATGTTACTATTTAACATATAACCAGGAACAATTATTTTGCTCACGGCTTCACAACTTACATGCTCTGCCTTTTTAACAGTTGTCATCTACACACGTGGTGCAACAAAACACGCCGACAACGTGGATGCGTTCTTCAGAAACAACGGTAGAAGTATACCACGACTTCAGTGTGACAGTGAGTATACTTTTGTTAAAGTAATGCATGACAGTAATGAGGCAACACGTTTACCGCATCCAGTGGCGAGTTGACCGTTATACATTGTATATATTCGGTCCCATTATTAAGAAATGATTGTATATTGCGACCTCACATGGATTATCCGAACAGGCAATATGGTTGATATTCCTATTTGTCATTGTGTCCTGGTTGACTAAATATTGATCACGTATGTATGTGTGTTTCTACTGGATAATGAAAGACTATCAAGACAAAATGTTAAGCATAGAATGTGATCCCATCGAATTGTTTAGCGTATTATCTTTCTTTAATTTGTTTTTGTAGATGCTGAGACGTTCACAGAGGCAGTCAAAACAAACTGTACACGTATGATTGTGTTGATTGATGAAAAGTTTTCTCAGTTGCTGGAAGATGAATACATGATGTTCAAACTTGCTTTCAATGGTGACAAAACTTTCTAATCATTTTCTGTCAAACTATCAAAACCTATTAGAATGGAATTACACATATATTTTCGACCGATGAAGATCTGGGGTAGAATAGGTCTTCAGCAACCCATGCTTGCTGTACAAGGTGTATATGCTTGTCGTAAGAGGCGTCTAACGGGATCGAGTGGTCAGGCGAGCTGACTTGGTTGATGCTTGTCATCATATCCCAATTGCGTGGATCGATGCCCATGATGTCAATCACTGTATTGTCTGGTCCAAACTCGATTATTTTTCAGACCGCTGTCATATAGCTTCAGTATTGCTGCGTGCGGCGTTCACAACAAACACATATTTTTGCATGAATTGTGCGACCAACCAACACGATATGTTTTTCATGGAATTAAATTCATGTTAAATGCTTCCATGTGGAATTGTATCAGTTATTCCTAGTGACACCCATTGTGTAGCTAATGCCACGGCAAAGATATTGTCTTCATTGCGACATGTTCATATTTTCGCTGACATTTGAGGTAAATCTTTGGATTTTTCTTGTACAGTATTGGACTGTTCCCAACTTTCTAAGAGTACAATGCTTTATGGGTCTAAAAGGTGAAGCGACCAGTTACATCCTTGAACAAATTAGCAAACTAAAACATCAATCATATCAGCTGTTCTGGTGTAAACCGATAAAATAATTCATCGCTGTTTTACAAAATATCAGAATCTTTCCATCATATATTTGTCACTGACACGTCAAAATGTCTGCTATAAAATCGTTTGGAATATTTGCTAAGGCCTTGAATGCTGTCAAACAACTTTTGATCAAGAGGCGTATGCCGATCTTTGAAATCGCTGTAAAACGAGCATGGTCGATTGTACCTCAAACGTTGTGAAAGGCAGACACCAAAGGCTTTTGAACTGCTGGAACATTGCTTGACATATAGGCAAGAGTTGACTCTTGGAAAGTTGCTGTCATCCCTCATACAGTATTGTGGGGTCTTTTATGTCACTCTGAATCTTTATGCATAGATCTAAAGTTGAAATGGATGAGGCGGTTTACACGGGTTTCTTTTATCTCGAGTTAAATCGGGTGGTTAAATCAGTTGAAGTGAATGAGCTATTTGACCGTTATTGAAGGGTATCAGATCATTGATACACCTGACGCTCAAGTGAAACTTCTTGGCCAAGTTGTCTTGTTTAGATTTTGTCAGTCCGAGCAGACATTCCGATCCATATGCATAAAGAAATAGATCAGCAAGAAGCGGAATACATTTGGTGCCAATGGGGATGCCTACACATGCTCATGATTTCGATGGAGGAGTAAAATGAACTCCGCATTCAGCAGATATTTTTTTAGGAATATTGAAAAGTTTTTGTCGCTTTTATTTAATAGAATTCTTGCCATCATGGGATGATTTCAAATTCTCTCTTACCACTTCACTTTGTTTCTGTCTTATCTTTGAACCATATTTCCTTTTAAAAAGATTAAAGGTCACCAGACTTTATCTCAAACGTTTGTACCATTTAGAGTACTGATAATTTTTCACACATTAACCTACCTTTATCAGTTAATCCCTTACCCTATCAGATTATATTTGCAATATTTGTCTTTAATTACAGATCTCGTAGAAGCAGAAAAAGAGGTTCAATTAGTCAATTATCTTGATGATGACGAAATCTTCCGAGAAGTAAAGTATAAGCTTCCTAGGGCCATGAGAAAAAATATTATTCCTAACACTCGGTTCCTCAACAGTACCAATGGTCATGTGGCTCTTGAAGGTAGGCTCTTGAGTTTTTTTCATTTTTTTTATTGGCTTTTGGTGTAATAAAATAAATAGCACGATAGCAAAACGATGCGCTTGCCACAAGAACCATTTACAAACAAATTAGCATGACAACATCAACGGTCCAGCTCTATCTCCATTGGTAGGACTTTCTGACTTCTCTTGCCACATGGTCAATCGGCCGTGTGCCATTATCATTTACGTGTTTGCCCTTACAACTTTGTGTGACCGATCACACCTATTTTGTTGCTTAGCTTGCTGAGCAAGAATTACTATGCGATTTTAAACATTTCTGCCTTTAATGCAATGTTGAAAATGCATTTGTGACCATTACGCATATGAACGTGGAAAAAACATATTTTAAAATTGTTTTGTTGTTACCTCAGCGATGACTTTAAATAGCACGTTTTTCTAGCCAGACTGGTGTATCTCTGTCTGCCTGTTGTAGAGACACTTCTGTTATTTGATTTGACTCTTGACCTCTTTATGACCTGACCGAAATAACAATAGTCCAGAAAAGTGCGTTTGTCTTCAGGCTTGATGTTCAATTTCTAATTTATCAATATTAATCGGGTTTGACTGTACTGCTTTTCATGTGACCAAATATAAACAAATTCGACAATACGATGGTCAATAAATTTTCACAACAATTTTTCATTAATTTGGAATATAGATTTCGAATATTTAATTGTGTACATTGCTTGCAGAGACGTGTAAAACGTGTGTCCTTTCAGATTGATAAGATGCAGTATGAAATTGATGATGCAGGATGTCTGAGCATGACACATATTTTTCAGATCATGCTACAACAGCTACACAGGTTGGCAACAACAACCATATGGAAGTCCCTCCGGAGGCTGGCAATATACGCGCACAGCAAATCGGGAGAAGCAACACGTTTACCGCATCCAGTGGTGAGTTGACCGTTATATTGCGATCTCGTTCACCAGTCTTTGGTATTGTGTATGTAATATGTCTTAAAAACACATATGATGCAGCTAAAATTATGATGTCTGTGGACAGTGTCCATTGTCATCCATTTCATCCAACGCTTACATATTCCCAATATTTTGAAGGTATGAAGGCCGACAATGCATTATTATTCAGTCAGATCAAACTTAGTCAAAAGCCATGTAGTGATATAATCTTGTGCGTGGGCTTGTGCGTGTTCGTGTGCGTGTGCGTGTGCGTGTGCGTGTGCGTGTATATCAATATTGGAATGAATGGAAGTGAAATGAGCAAGTCAATATTACGTGTGTCACTCATTGGCGCTAAAAGTCACACCCACACTCGACGTCTTGCGGAATCTATAGGATATATGTTTAGCGGTAGCAAGAACTGAGATCTGATTTTGTTGAGATTGGAGCTGTTTTATTTCTCATATGTTTTCAGTGTTCATGTTGCGCATTCACGATGTAACAATTTAGAATTCAGTAAACTAAAGGACGGTTTTCAGTTGCACTCGTGGCTGTCGTTCTGCAACTGGTATTACAATATTTCGTGTGTTCGAATCCAACTCTCAAAGCGTTTTTTTGTGTGACGTGAGCCTCTGATATGATAGGATACGCACAACTTTTCATGAACACCTGGTACAGTTATTGTGATTCATAAACGCATACATAAGATATAGTCGGAATCGTACACTGGACTCTGCATTAAGCAGAGATTCCTTGTGATTATTGAAACTGTTTAGTCACTTTCATTTATCTCATCTGACAACTACCATGTAATAGGTACCAGCATGAATATCACTTACACGTCCAACGGCCATATCTCTTAAATGACTCTTATTGGTATTATGTATTAAATCTGTTTGACACAATTAATTGTAAATATGATGTTTTGTAACTAAAACATTCTTGTCTCAGGCCCATCAATTCAGGGCTACGAGTTGACCGTAAAGACGCCTGACACAGACTACGAATTGTGTGTAGAAATGAAGAAGCACATCGACAAGAACATAGACAACATTAACATCTCCCTGAAACCACACAACGCCAGAGTGGAGTCCACCAGTCTGGGATCTGTCATCATCAGGGTGGCAGTGGAGCCTGGCACAAAACTTGGACCAGTTTGGCTGAGAGAGGTCATCACAAAGATCCTGTCTGAAGACATCATTGCTAAACTGCCAAAAGGCACCAGCATGGAAGTCAACATCAGTGCATCTCTTCCACTCACACCTCTGGATGTGGATATATTCGGTAAATACACAGTAGCATTGTAATTAGCTCTAATATCACCTTTCATTTCATGAGATACTCATGGTATGCAAAACAAATGCTCAGTTTGCACGTGAAAGTCATGATACAGTCATAATATTATATTCACAAGCTATATTATTGGCATTATGGCATATAACGGTGCATTGTAGACTGATATAAGCATCAATATGTTAAATGCTATATGCAGTTTAGCTTACCATTCTTACCATACTTATGTCGAATTGTTTGGTAGCAAGTAAATCCTTACGTATAGATTTATTTGTTTTAAATTTAGGTTTAGAACAGGAGCAAGGGAAGAATATTTTTCAATAAAACAAACAATTTTGGACAATATTAATTTTGAATTATGTATCAACATGCATTGTAAAAAAGATCCTTGAACATTTCTTTAGCTTTGAAAATACAAATGAAGCTTGGGTGTTGTGTATTGGTAGCTAATAAGGTTCTTTCTGACTTGCAACATTCATAACGCAAATCAACAAAACGATAATGGAATAATTAACTCAGTTGAACCAAACATGCAGTCTGCATTGTTACCATTGATGTGTTTATAAAGTTGGATTTCAATTAACTATTTTGATATTTCTTTTTTTATTCAGAGTTTGAAGGTGAAAACGAAGCCACCCATTGGATGACAGAATATACATCTGACATTCACAGGAGGGATAAAACTGGTCGCAACATGCTCCACCAAGCGGTCAGAATAGGAAATAGGGCTGCTGTAATTTTCAGTCTAATATCAGGCTGCCTTGTAAATGATCAAGATTGTCATGGGAATACTCCTCTTCACTATGCAGCAATGTCAGGTCAAACGGGTGCGTCCTTGTCCAGACTGCTCGTTGAAGGAGGAGCCAGCATTGACGTGGTTAACAGGGTTGGATGCACACCACTACATCGTGCTGTCACAAAGAGGAACCTGGAGATGGTCGAACTCTTTGCAAGAAAGTTTGGAGTGAAAGAGAGCACTCCTACAGCCAATAAAAAAATAGAGTTATCTTCCCTTATACATCTCTTGGTCAAACAAGGAGGAGATGTCAATGCCCTCAACAGAAAACGTCTCACACCACTGCATGTGGCTGCTTCATCACAGAGGTTTGATGTTATTGTGGCATTATTGACCGAAGGCGCGGACGCGAATGTTGTTCATGAAAATGGTCAAACTCTGTTGCACCATGTATTGGGGTTGAGTAAGCCTAACAGGAAAATGTATGAAGGGTTGAATAAGCCTAACCGGAAAAATCCGAAGAAACACCTGCGAGAAAAGCCTGTCACACAATCATCTGGAGATACATGTAAACCTGATGATAATGGAGCTAGTAAAGCACAATCTTCAGTGTTGGACATACCAGACAGTGAAGGTAATACTCCACTTCAGAGTGCACTCAAATCTAACTTCACACAAGCTGCTATCATTCTGTTGAATGCTGGGGCAAATGCAAATACCAAGAACAAGAAAATGGACACACCCCTCCATACAGTTACTAGAAATACAAACATTGAGAATACTATCACTGAACGTGATGCAGTAGTGAAGATTATTGAATTCAGCAGAGATGTGAATGTTACAGATAAGCAAGGCAATACACCTCTGATGTTGGCTGTCGAGAAGAACAAAAACATCTCACCCCTGCTCAAAGCTGGCGCTGATGTCAATGCTCAAAATATACATGGTGACACACCGCTGATCATAGCTGTTAAACACAACAGTCGGATAATGGAAACATTACTGGAGGCCGGATCTGAAGTGTCCACCGGCAATACACAACTTCTACTGAAAGCAGGAGCTGACGTCGATGCACCCATAAATGAGAGACAAAGCAACACCGAACAACTGATTGCCGCTGGAGCTGACGTCAATGTTCAAAACAAAGATGGTACCACGCCTCTGATGTTGGCTCTTAATACAGGACGGGATATCGCACCACTACTCACAGCTGGGGCAGATGTAAATTCAAAAAAAGGATTGGGTAGAACAGCGCTGCATCTTGTTGGTGAACAACAAGATCACAGGTATGGAGCCGCAGTCATAAACAAGAGCCTCACAGATCAACTGATTGCTGCTGGAGCTGACGTCAAAGTTCAAGACAAAGATGGTAACACGCCTCTGATGATGGCTGTAAAGACAGGACGGGATATCGCACCACTACTCACAGCTGGGGCAGATGTAAATTCAAAAAATGGATTGGGTAGAACAGCGCTGCATCTTGTTGGTGAACAACAAGATCACAGGTATGGAGCCGCAGTCATAAACAAGAGCCTCACAGATCAACTGATTGCTGCTGGAGCTGACGTCAAATTTCAAGACAAAGATGGTAACACGCCTCTGATGATGGCTGTAAAGACAGGACGGGATATCGCACCACTACTCACAGCTGGGGCAGATGTAAATTCAAAAAATGGATTGGGTAGAACAGCGCTGCATCTTGTTGGTGAACAACAAGATCACAGGTATGGAGCCGCAGTCATAAACAAGAGCCTCACAGATCAACTGATTGCTGCTGGAGCTGACGTCAAAGTTCAAGACAAAGATGGTAACACGCCTCTGATGATAGCTGTAAAGACAGGACGGGATATCTCACCACTACTCACAGCTGGGGCAGATGTTAATTCAAAAAATGGATTGGGTAGAACAGCCCTTCATCTTGTTAGTGCACGCGATTATCACCTGTATAGGGCCACAGTCACACATGAGAGCCTCACAGAACAACTGATTGCTGCTGGAGCTGACGTCAATGTTCAAGACAAAGATGGTAACACGCCTCTTCACATTTGTGTAAAGAATAATGATTACCGTTCTGTCAAAGTCCTTTTGAGTGTTTTACGGTCTGATGTCAATATTACAAATAGAAATGGAAAATCAGCATTGGACCTCGCTGAAGAAGCTGTATTACCAACACATTTTGGTATTAGGGGAAAATTCAGGAAAATACCACAAATATCTTTTGGTACACCTGGATATTCTCATGATCCTGAAAAGGATAAAAAAGCAAAAATACATGCAATCCTCAGCAGACATCCAGATCTCAATGCTGAAAACCACAGTGACAGAACCCCTTTGAACATTGCTAAAATGTCAAGCGACATATCTCTTAAAGAACTTCTGTTATCTAGAGGAATAACGTCAGAGGAGTCAACATATGGCTCGTCGAGGCCAAGACCTCATTATTCATCATCAGAAAAGACGAAATTGAAAATGCAAGAAAAGACTAAAAACCCGTGGAAGGGAATGTTTGAAGGGAATATGGACGTCCATTAGATCAATGTCACAAAAAGGAACTTGATTATGTGTTGACAAGATAGGCAATTGTCCTACCCAAAACTAGCCATTGTTGCAGACATTATGCATTTCTAGTGCGTGACTGGATAATCACTATCATAACTTCGAACGTTTGTAACTAATAGATGTATTTTCAATGAATTTTAAGTAAGAATTACCTTGCTTACGAACGAGTGTTGCGTAATTCCTATCTGTGTATATGTTTCAAAATTATTTTAGCTTTTCAGACGTAGTACATTTTGATAATATGTATTTTGGTGTATATGAAAGTAAGGGATGGTCTTAATAGAAGGTTAATGGTTGGCACAATTAAGATGCTACAAGTCTTCAGTTTGAATGATTTTATATGTTTAATGTGGACATTGCACCTCTTGAGTAATTCATTTTGTTTTCAGTCAGGACATATACATAGGTATACATGGAGAAGCTGTATCATGTTCAACCAAACTTTGATTGAGAATATTATGTTTCATTTTTTTACGTTTGTATATACATGTACACTTGTGAATTAGTTTTACGCCTCATGCATATGCCTGTCAAAACACAATATACTTATTGATTATACTAATTGATTGTATGTACATGGATATAGCACACAATGTTTGGTAAATACATATTAAAAGTTTGGTAAATCAGTGATCTATGATTTCTTGTGAGCAGTGTAGGTTGATACTACATTTGTCCTCAGTACTTCTTAAGCCTTCATAATTGTAGTTGCCAGTTTATTCAGTCTATTGGCTGGGTTGGTTTTATACATCAATAGATACTTGTTATTTATCTGAACGTGTTATCTCTTGGTGAATTGTATCAGACGGAATATTTTGTTGATTGTACAAGATTTACAACTGGTAAAAACTTGACCATTTTTGTTTTTCATGTTCGTTAGTTAAGACAAATAAACTCTTTGAGCTATTTCTATGACCTTATAAAAGGATGCATTGATAAAAGAAGTTCCCTTTTTACAAATCATTTTTTAAATCATTGTTTAACATTCTATTGTATTTTTTTCAGATGCGTTTGTTATCCTCTTGTCTTGCAATGAAACATCAGATATGTTTTCCCCAACCACCCATGTAAAATGTAAACATGGCGGTATTGCTCTAGTCAGCATGTTTGTGGTATTTTCTGTGTTGAGTTGAGTCCTGCTTAGGAATGTCTTAAATGTTGTTTAGTGCTAATTCATTACAAACATAATTTGTTGATTGTGATTCTTATATTGACTAAAGTTATAAACATGTCATAGACTACCCTACCGATTAGTCTGAAAGGTTGCCACAGTAACCCATATATGGTCTACATGGTATGCTAATTTTGATTTGGTTAGATATTCCAGTTCACATGTACGGTTTTTTGGGTCCGAGTTTCTAACCGAGTGTATTCGCAAGCTTCATGAATGTATTAGTAATCTGTTTGTTACTATTACTGTTACTATTATTGATTCTGGCTTATTTGGGCGACGTTATTTCATATTTGTATAAGTATATAATATATACATCAAATTATTTTTAGATTTCTCATGTTACAAGGATGTCTTGTGGATTAAAAAATACGCTAAAATGTTCAAAGGAGGATAGAAGCGCAAAAAGGTGTGATTAGTCGAGTAACACAGAAGAAAACGTTAACAACCGAAAGTCCCTTTTACAAGAGTTTCCTTTCAAACGTATATTTGCCTAAAACAAGGGCTTCACTGTATAAGTATCATGGGCGGATACAGAGGGGGGGGGGGGGGGGGTTCGAAAAAATCTTTATTTCTGTATAAATTACCACCATATCTTAATTGTGCTAGATACTATTCATTTGTTAATATAATCACAGTCCTGAGCCAGTCGAATTCGAGTTTGGAATTGGTCCTCAGGAACCAATGTTTGTGGTAGGGGCAACAAACATGGATAGTCGACCAGACTCAGTGACTTGATTGAATGCGTACCAAGGCTGTGTGGGATGTTGAACAGAATATTATCAACTGGTTTGTCTGGTCCAGGCTCGAGTATTTACCGACTGCCTTGATACATCTGTGTATACTTTGCTTAGTGTCACTACTAGCTACCTAAAATTGGCACTGTATTACATGTATGCTTATATAGTTTATGTATTAGTATATGTCTGTCAATGTAGAGGAAATAAACATCGTTTGAGGGTAATTCCCTGTTTCGCTTATCCATCACATTACAGCTCCCACTTGGTTGTGGTAGGCTTGTTAATGCACATATCACCTATTGATGACGAGGCATGAGATTTTTATTCCACATTGCGCCAGGTAAAAACATCTTCCAAAGACAAGAGAGTTAACTGACATTAAAAGTCCAGTGTCCACCCTTTCCGAACTAGGCTGGAATTCCTTGGATCGATCGTAGCGCCACCAGTGGCTATTACGAGTTTTGTCACTTCTATGCCTCTCCTATGGACCAATCAGATTCCACCTCTCGTATCACTTGCATTTGCACTTGCAAAATGGTGGCGCCCAGTCAAGACGATCTGATTGATAATCAAGATCTATATTGTGATAAAACGAGTCTTACATCGCGAATTGCATCAAATCACGTAATCACATTTATTAAAAACACGAAAAAGTTTTTAGAAAATATCTGTTGATGAGTTGGCGGTGCACATGCTTTCCAAATCCTGCAATCAACCAAAAGCTGCATGACAGTTTACGAACCGGATTTCAATTTTTTCGGTTGTCTTGTGTCTAATAAGAATCTTTGAGTTTTATAGGTTAATCCCTATCCAGTACCAAAACAGTACATTTCATGGTTGACCTAACATGACCCGAATATGTTTGGTCAAGTCAAGTTTCCGACACTGACCTCGAATATTGACTAGTCACATGATCACTATGACCTATCACGTGACGAGTATTAATTTCGTCTGCTACAAAAACATCACTTCTGCGAGTGGCAATACACGGTTTGCCGATCTTTTAGATAAGATCGCGACTGAAACGTAATAAATCAGAAGACTGTAAGGTAAAATCTAATTAAGTTTTCGGTATCACAAAGCACGATGATCAGTCTTAGCGAGGTCATTATGCGAATACCAGAGGACTCTACCTGAGGTGGTCTGTCCGGGCCGAGCCAGCAGCATACACATGTCAGTATGTGATGTTGACTGCGCACAGTAATATACCAATCCACTGGATCTGCTTGTAGGTAATAAATTTCTGCTACCGCCTGTGACGATTATGCGATTCAGTCGTGATGTTGTGTTGTTTGTTTGTTTGTTGTTTTACGCCGCACATAGCAATATTCCAGCTATATGACGGCGGTCTGTAAACGATTGCGTCTGGACCAGACAAGCGATGGATACGATGACATGCATCAACCAAGTCAGCGAGCTTGACCACCCGATCCCGTTAGTCGCCTCTTACGACAAGCATAGTCGCCTTTCACGGCAAGCATTGGTTGTTGAAGACCTATTCTAACCCGGATCTTCTTAGGTCTCAATTGATATGAGAAATGTATTGAAAAACAGGGATATTATGTTGAAAAACAAACTTAAAACACTTTCACAATTGTTGGTTTTGTTTGTTAGGCTTAGAACGTTTTGACCAGCCCTCGTATAAATGTGTCTGAGTGGGGTATACGGATACCCTCGGGGAGTTATCATTGAAAAACACGTTTCACCACAGAGCGTGTATTGTGTGCTGCGACTTCCATAATGTTACCTATTGGTTTATCAAGTACAAAGAGTTCTCTCTCATTTCTCATGGTAAAGTTTGCCTACATGTACGTACAATCCTATATAAACCTCTAATGTAGTGACCTAATCATATTGTTTTAAGGGGCCTTCGTTTCGTAGAACATTCTTTCAGCAGGGACTTTCTACAGAATATCCCTCTGTCCAGGAATATTCTATTGAATGTCCCTTCGAGATATATTTTGCATTGTCCACATAAAAAAGATTCTAACTAAAGGATATGTGCGAAAAGATGTAAAATCAAAGCCAAATGTTACTATATATGTCAGTGGGATCGAAACCTTTGTATTTGTTAAAAACTTCGTATGTGAGTGAACCCCTACCCTACAGAGGCGCTGATATACTACACTGTTGTTTTTTTTAATCCTTTTTTAACCAGACTTATTTTGGGTCCGTTTCCTAAGGTTCATGGGTAGTGTACTGGAAACATAAAATTAATTCAGATTTTCTCAAGGTTTATAAAACGGCTAAAACACCAAACAAATATCCAGGCCTCGCCCTAGTTATTTCCCTCATCCTTTCTTAACACCTTACCCGACCGTGTCCACGAGTTTTACCAAAGGGGTAAATGTTTATACCTCAGACCTCCAAACAATTAGATGTAAGACTGAACTTTATCCTTTATTCTTTATCCCTAATTCTACAAAATTGTGGAATAATCTATCTGAAGAAATTTAATATTACGTATAATCCCATCATTCTATCAAATCGGGCACTGTTGATTATGCTTCAGTTGATAACTGACCACCAAGGTATATTGTGTGTAATCATCATGCTTGACACCCCACCTTGACTTTCTTCTGTTACTTGATTATAAATAGGGAGAGATATTTACAAAAAAGAATTGTTTACCGATCCCAATTTTTAGCCGAAATAAAATTATTTTTAAACAATTTTAACTTAACATGCATTAATTAAATATTATGTTACCGGGTTTTCTGTGGCATTATCCATTATATATACAAACAGATGAGACCAAAGACGGCTTCTGTTTACTTGTGAGTGAGTTAGTGACTGGGGCTTATTGCCGCTTTTAACAATATTCCAGTTACGGCGGCGTGTCAGCTTAACGTGGGAGGAAAGCCCGAAGTGATGCAGGTCTCAGACCTTTACCACTTCAGTGAAACCCACGAGCACGGGTATGGTGCTGACAAACCTAGAAACATAATCGGGGCGAACCGGGATTCGAACCCCCAATCATAGGTTTCTGGCGTGCCCAAGGGACACATCTCTGCACAGCGATTCGCGGCGCTTTAGACGACTGGGCCACCCGTGCCCCCATACCGCGTATGAAAAAAAGTTATTTCAGACATTATTAAAGGTTGGTAATTGAACTGATTCTCTTCCACCCTCAGCTAAAGGGTTCACCCCAATTATGACTACAGAAAATGGGGGTAAATTTTGAGCCTACCTATAGAATAATGGACTACCCCAGTCGTCGTCTGTCCTTTGCCCATATATACATAAACAATGTCATTTTCGATGTATTACTTTTATATTATTTTCACAAAAATCACAGAGAAATCTGTTAGAATATTTAAAATAGCAATAAAAATGTTAGTGGAAAATGCAACAAAAGCTGTGTTTGCATTATTAAAGAAAGCAGGAAACGTGAACAAGCCTCTTGATTGTATGTTTTTGTCATTTGACAACGATTGCCTCGATTTAAATGTATAAAAGGCAAATTTAGGGATTTGAAAATACAAACTTTTTTGATATAGCATTTCTGTTAATTGCAGCTGGTCTTCGTTACTCAACACCAAATGTCATGGCCCAGGGTGAATTTGGAAGATAACTACTGTATCATATAGTGTATAAACACAATACCAAATTTTCGAATCATAATTGCAATCCCCAAATTAACAAACATTATATACCGGTATATCACTCTCAGCAGAAAAATGTGAAATGTGAAAAATACTTAATGATTGTGGACTTTGATAACCTGTTTATATGTTCTAAGCAATGTCTGGCATTAGAGGTAGGAGAAATATTTAAAGATCAATGTCTGAAAAACTGGCTTTGCTGTACAAGTAATTTAAAGAAACTTTATCTTTGGAAATGTATCTCATCTCAAATTTACAACTAACAAGCATGAAATATTCATATTCTCCGCCAATATGACATGCCCGGTTGTGTGCAATGCTTTAGCTCCTGTGAACTATGTTCACTGGGCCTTTTTGTAAATGTCCTTATTGCAGCACTAAAAAAGTTAATACTGGTGTTGCTTTGCCATCTACAGTTTATGATAGAATATGTAACTGTATTTGTAATGAGTAAGGATGAGACATATGGACGAAC